TCAACATCTTCATCAATGACTTGGATGAGGGGGTAAAAAGCGCCCTGTTCAAATTTGCTGATGACACTAAGAAGTGGGGGATGTGGGCACTCTAGACGGGAGGAATAGGCCCGGAGGCTGCCATGATGGTGGTGGAATGGAGCCCAGGCACAGGTTCCAAAACCACGTGCGTGATTAATGTGTTGAAAATATTAGTGCAAGAACCAATTAAAATGTTAATCACACATGTTAAACAGTGATTAACAACCCTAGTCCATATCTTTTACACTCTTCTTCACCAGCTACATTGGCAGCAACGACCGTCTTCCTCCATAGTTCCAGCAGAGAGGCCACCCATTCAACAGACAGAGAAACTGAATTGCTTTCTCAGACCTCAAGGTGATCCTTCCAGATGAGGTTTCAGAAATTTTAGCTTGAAGGTGCTTTCACAGGCATTGTTAGAGTGACATGTACTCTATAAAAAAATTGAGAATTAAGGCTTATTGGCTGTCTACTTGGCCTCTCTTATAAAGGCTCAGATCACTTCACGTAAAAGAAATTAGTTACATATATAATGTGTTTTATAGATATGCCTTCTGTGCTAGGATCTTGCATGGGAAACAGAGCTGGGAGAAACTTCTTATGCCCTTTCAGGCTTTTGTGCCTATTCATCACAATCTGCTTCTTAGTCCCTCCCCTCCCCTTACTCTTTAGTTCATGCTTTGTATAATGATAACACAAATTATTATGAATGATCTCTTCCTTATTGATTTAAGTAGTCAGAAATAAGTAATCAAAATGTATCTTGGGTAGAAAATACTGCCCAATCCTAATGAAAATCCAGTTAAATGCTATTGAAATGTATTCCCTGGGATTCTTACTGTGTAACACTATTCAGATTATCCATGTTCTGTTTCTTGTATTCCTACAGTACAGTGAAAAGTACTGATAGACTTCCTAAACCTTCAGGCAGCTGGTTTTTGCCTTCTCAGTTTGATGACCCCTTATTCAAAGAAAAAAATTATAGCACCTCTACATTTGCTATATAAATAGGAATTAAAAAATCTAACAAGAATGATGATTAGCCTATATAATTTATTTGTGTGTATGTTTTGACAGGTTGACAGAGGGTAATTGACATTGAAATATGCAGGGAAAAGGGGAGTGAGATTTTCTTTATTTTAGATTTAATGACATATTCAGCACCTCACAACCCTCTGGTTGCAGTCCATAACCCTCTGGAGGGTCTCATCCAGCTGGTTGAGAAAAACTGGTAAGGCTCAATGAAGTGGGGTGTGTGTTGGATTGTACAGACCAGAGAGTAGACTGTTTCCAAACTTACTTGGTCTGTTCTTTTTAAGGTCTTTTATTTCCCATCATACTTGTCCACTTTTGGAGAGTAGTGCTGTTGTACATTATCACAAACCCTCTGAGTTATGATCCCAAGTGCACATGGCATTTTTTCACAGGTTGAAAAATAAAAATGAATTTGAGTAAATGTAAATATCAGATGTTTAGATTTAACCAAATCTTTCCTTATTTGTGCCTGTGCTTGCTCTCAATTGTGTTTTAGTCTTAATATTCAAGGACTATAATATAATTTTAAATTCTGGAGGAGAAATGAAGGATTCAATATAGCAATTGAATTTGGTATCCTTAAAATTTAATGAAACATTTTCTCTTAAAGTTGACCTACAATTATACCTAATTTCCATAGTTTTCCTTGTGTCTCCACACAATTATTTTAGACTCTGTCCTTTTCCTTTACAGCAGTGGTAAACATTTTATTACACATAATAAAAGAATAAAATATGATACAACAACTGACAATTTGAAATCCAATAGGTAGCAAATATTTAAATTGAAACCTACTGTAGAAAAAGCAGCAATATCTATGCACTATAACTTTTCAATTGCTTTTAACTTTTAAATTACATTCCCAAGGAAATCTGGAATATGCCCCAAAGAAATCTGGGATACATCCTCCTATTCTGTATTTGACCTGAGCTTTGGTATGTTTGTCTTCTGAACATTCTGTAAATGTATGTGACCACACATCCTCCAAATAGTTGTAAGCTGTACCTCCTACATAAATACTAGATATAGAACTTTAATACAACCAGATTTATAATAATGACATGGAACCATTTGAACTAAAAATTGTATTGACAATTCATCTTTAGCTAACAAGCAAGTGAATTCTTAATTCTTTTGTTCTGGTATAGTTCAGTTAATATAGTGATATGTCTTCTATTATCTATACCCAATGAGCAAATACTATGATTAGAGTTTATTTGTAATAATTACAACATAAGGCAACTTTTTGAATTTGAAATGACCTGAGAACAAAATTTTCCTTAAATGAGTGTTCAAGGTATTGATAAATGGTTACTCATTAGAAATTAAAGAAATAGGAATATTTCCAAAAATGCTTTTCATTTAAATAAACCATTGGAGCACTATAAAATCTTTGAACTATTTTTGTTAATAATTTTAATTGAATTGAATTGATTTTAATTATTTAAATAAATGAAAATCATAAAATATTATGAAATGAACTATGAAGGAATTAAGCCAGTCAGATTTCATGTGAGTATATTTGGTGTATTTAGCTTCAGAAGAAGAATGTTTTCTATAGTTTCACAATATGCTATTTCTGTGCCTATAAAGATGCAGACAGCTTTTTCCTGATATTTTCTGTCAGATTAGTTATTACTAACAAAGCTACTTCCATGGGCAATGTATCTTTTTGAGACAGAGAAGTGAGGAATGTTACCTGTGGAAGGTTGAAAATGGAGGCTGAATTTTTTTCTTTATTGTTTGAGTGACTGGTAAAGCAACCAAACAGGAGGAGGTCTTATTAGACTATATTTTGCATGTACATGTTCTGTTTAGAGCAGGGCAAGAAGACCAGCTGCTTATAGTGGCAAATCAGTTATTTCTGTCCCTGTGTACATAATGCCTGAGTTTTTAAAGGAAAAATACAGGCATTAGATACATTAAAATAAGCATATTTAGGTACAATTTACACATTAAGACTTGATGCACCATTCTTTGTATTCATAACGGTCAAGTGAAGAAATCCAGATACACGGTACCTTTGCATACTATCTTTATAATGAAAAATAGTAATTTTAAAGTATTCTTTTCTACTGATATATATTTTTTTATTTAAACAAAGAGTAAATATGGCATCCAGTTAAAGACCATTGATAGGTTTTTTTAAGGAGTACGATTATAATGAAGGAGGCAGAATAATAAATGAGACCATTTAACTGTATGAATAAAATGCAAGTGTTTATCTAAAATTAATCCATGTCTCATAACTTGGAGAGCAGAATAAATGGGTTGTTTTTCTTTGGCTCCATCAGAAATATTGTCTTCCAAATATTTACATTAATGCATTAGAAACTTTAAAGAGTGAAATAGCTTTTTTTGACATTTTTCTTGGTCAGCACAGAGACTATGAGAATTTCAACCTTTTAGCTCACCTTAAGCGTATAAAGTTTATGAACCAATTTCTTATAATGATTAACAGTTGGTACGTACATTTAATGTACAGCTTATTTCTCCATCCTTATTTTTTCATGTTTGATCTCATATACTTCTAGGAGAAAGCATAGACTATAAAATGTTCTGTTCTAAAAGCTTCTCATTATTATTAATATTACTGTTTCTCTTATTAGAAACATTTCTATTTATTACTAATCAAACATGGCTTCGGCTATGGGACTGGTTATAGAAGTGTAACAGAGAGTTAGACCTTCAGTTCTATATTTTACTTTTTGCACTTAAAAAAAAAAAAATCACTGTTGTATTATAGTCTTCAGAAATATCAGATTAGATCCTTGTAACTGCTGATATCTTATGCAAGTTTCAGAGCAGCATCAGCTGCAATTTGCTTCAGTAGGATTAGATGTCTAAGAAGCTGGTGGAGAAGATCTATCACTGAGATCAAGGCATTATTTTCCTGGAATTTTACTCTTATTACTGAAATTATATGTTATAGAAAAGCATGGTTCCTTAGTGGCACAGCAAATAGTGATAAATTTATAGGAAAACGTTGAGATAATTGGAGGAAAGCTATCATTTGTACTGTGAAACTTTTAAGATATTTTACTTTTGTGTGTTAGATATTTCTAAGTATTTAAAAATGATAATGTAAAATTCAATCTAAAACAGATTTTACTAGATTATTTTTAAAAAACTGCACTAGGCTAATGTGATGCAAAGACACCACTGCATGCCACGTTCAATATTTAGAAGCAGAGACAGCCATTAGATTTTGTTGATTAATTAGTTTCATGATTTTCTGACAGCTGACAAAATTTGCCATGAGCATAAATGAACACAAGAAATATTCCTTAGGTGTTTTTGTGATGGGTTTAATGAGAGCAATAATACTTTTCTTTTTTTACCATCAGACAGGAAGCTCTACTTGCTGCAATCAGTGAAAAAGATGCAAACATTGCCTTGCTTGAACTGTCCGCTTCAAAGAAAAAGAAGACTCAAGAGGAAGTAATGGCTCTAAAACGAGAGAAAGACAGATTAGTGCACCAGTTAAAACAGCAGGTGGGAAAATGTTCATTTTAACTCTTCTGTTGGAGCTGGCACTTGGCATTTAGTTTCATTTTCACTATTTTACGCTAACCTCATATTGAAAAGCCCTCAAGCGAAGTCTGCCTTTTGACAGCAGCTGAGAAAGGTATTGTAAGTGTTGCCGTACTGTTACATTAAGGCTGTTAAGTATTAACTCGTGTTTGTTTCATTCATACTTGTTGGGGCTAGGTACAGACATTCAAAAAGCCTGAGCAGAATCTGTTTCAAATATGCAGATTTCGTTAAGCGGTGTAGTTTAGATCAATAGCAGACAGAACACAGATTTGCCCTTTGGTGGGAGGGGCAAATCTTAGATTAGGTCCTGCCATTTTTAAACCAGCTTATGTATGCCAAAATTCTGTTCTGTTATGGGTATAGACAGGTTTCTGATCACTTATATCAGTAAAAGTGTAATGTCTATACCTGGCCTGGGTTGTTCCTCTTCCACGTAGCTGCCACAGTCCACCACAGCCAAAAACAGACGTACTATGCAATTAAAGCAAGATTAAATCCCATTTGTTGACTCCTTCTAGTCTTTGTTTAGTTATATGTATGTTTGCCACAAAATAGTGGCTTGTTCAGAAGGTTCCAGATTTTCTGAGAGGTTATCTGTAATTCGTAAGTGTGATTAAAACCTCACCAATTTTTAAATAACTGCTATCTTCATTATTATAAATCAGTAGAAGTCTCTAAGAGAAGAGTTTTTGGTTGCATGCTCTAGAACAAGTTTTACCACAAGAAATAGTACTTCAATTTCATTTTTTTTCTGTTTTCATGTTGATAAAAATTACTATGGTAAGATGCATACAGTGCATATGGATATCTTTTATGGCTAATTGAAGTTATTTCATAGTGTGAAAACATAACTGTATACTGACTACTGCCTCTGTTTTAAAGTTCTGATAGTCATTGCTCACATAGGTACTGTAAGCTTAATGAAAATCAAGAGAGGAAAGGATGCTCTGATAACCTAGACAGTGAAGATCTGTGTTGTGTGTCATATCAGTGTGCTGTCAAACACCTTCCTTCCTTTAATAATATGAGAAGAGATGAGAAAGAGGTTTTCCAAACTCAGCTAGTAGTGTTATATCTGATGTTTTCCTTTGTGTGGCAGTGTCATCATTGAGTTCTATGAATTCTACTTGAAGAGCAGGAAAATCTCGCATCATGCTAGTCTCAGCCCTTCAAAGTAACCAATCTCCTCTCAGGCAATGGGCCATTTTACAAATGAGCATGTCATGTTAATACTATATAAGGGTGTACCACATAGCCAATGTTATGATTCTTCATTCTGAGTCATACATTGCATAATGTAGATTTTCATTCACTGGGCAACAGAAAGCTAAGGAAAAGCCTTGCTTCTGAGCTAAATTCCTGTTCTGACCATAGGGAATTTAGCTTTTTCCTACAGGTCGATAGAAATAGGAAACAGCCCACAAGCATGACAATATCATCCATTTTTGCTGCCTATCTCATAACAGACATTGCTGCCAAGTACCTGGGCTCCAGCCATAATGTACATATGCTTCAGGTCAATCAGCTGTTTAGGAGACATTTCACACACAGACCATGTGCCTACTAGCAATGTGTACATTTTTACCTTCTTATTGTATTGTTGTACCTTCTCATGTCTTGTTCCCAGAATTATCTACACTGCAACTGTGCAGCATGGATTCAAGCTATGGTAGTTTTCTTTCTTGCCTTTTGGAAGATGATAGCAAGTATTATGTCTTGTCATTTTGGACAATTCCTTTCTTCCTTTCTCCATCATCTTCCTAGTGTGAAAAGTAAAATATTGAAATAATAGAGCATCTTGCTGTACTCCAACATATGTCCTCTAGATACTCTGTTATTTACTGTGAAAAGGTGTGCAAACATCCACTCGCTCTGCCTCAGGATAGGAACAGATAGCAAGAAGAAAGTTGTTAGGGAAGCGTTATTTAGGGTAATTTAAATTAAAAATTTAACCAAGTACAGCCAGACCCCGAGTTATGTGGAGGGTTCCTGAAAAACACGGTGTAAGTTGAAACAGTGTATCTCAAGGCATTAAGTCAATGGAAAACAGGGGGATAGGGACCTGGGACCAAGATTTGATAACATCATTTCATAATAAAAGGATATTTAAACACAAAATAATGGAATTAATAGCTTTATTAAAACCTTTACTCCTGGCTATGTGCTCATATAGAGACAAAGCTTCAGCCTTAATTGCCATGCTGTCAACAACTGCTCTTTTTGTATTGGTCATTTCATTGATCTGAAGATTAAGGACTTTCTCAACATTATCTAAATGAGGAATTCTAGTCACCAGCGACACTCTTGAACTCACAGGGGTTGTCGTTTTCACACAGTCCCTAATTTTTTGCTCACTTTTTTTAATGGTACACACAGTCAATTCACTTTAACTGTATTGACAAGCAATTGACACAGCACTATTGCCTTCTCTTAATTTATCAAGGATTTCTGTTTTCTGGGCCAGGGTGATTGACTTACATGCTCTTTTGGGCACAACATCAAAGGCTTTCTTTGACGCCATTTTCACAAATATTCAAGGGTTAACGTAACCAAAAATGATGGACAGTCTTGGAGGAGACGACAAGTGATGCTAATGCTATGTAAGCAAACTCCAAACTGACAACCGCTCTCCCACAAACAGTATAAACATGAAGCTGAAACATGGTCATATTATATAAAGCGTGTATGTGTGAATCAGTGTAACTCAAGACCGTGTAACTGGGGGTCTGACTGTACTCTATTGTACTTCATTATTTATAGTAATAAAGAGCCTTAATGCCAGATATAGTAATGCATTAAAGTGATGTCGAGATAAATCCTCTTCATTAGCCTGGACATCATAGGAAAAAAGACAAGAAATAAAGGATGTGGTTTAACTGGGCCACAGCTTTATCTCATCTAGGAGCTATATGACAATAAATCATCCAGGGCAGATCATCCTTCCTACTTGAATCTATGCTACCTGAGGGAGGACTGTGGTCAGCCCCCACTTCTCTCCATACCAGCATTGTTGCTTGATACCATGACCCAATCCTCATGCAAGGATTTAGAGATGAGAAATAGGGTGCTTCCACATAGTACCAGATCTAAGGGGCCCCAATTATGTTTCTAACCTTCTTTAAGAGATAACTTTTCCTAACTGGCTTCTAATTCCAGTTTATCAGGGAAAATGACTCCCTAATAAGTCATTTTCTGCATTGGATACTTGCCACATTGCACTAATGAAAATTTTACAACTTTACTTCCACAATGGGTCCCTGGGTTGTTAAGAGGAATGTAAAAAAGTCTACCTTGCTGTGGTTTGTCTAACAATTAGGGGGAAATTTCTTTGTGGTCCCTAAAAGATGACTTAGGGATGCATCTATACCATCCTCAGAATTCCCAAAGAATGTTGCTTTTTGAAATTCCTCACTCAATAATGCCAAACCTGGAAACAAGGCAGTTAACTAACCCTAAAGGCTCCTCTACCACTGGTCTTGATACCTCTGTCTCCAGCATGCTTCTGAGAGGTAGCAGGGCTTTTTCAGGGTGGCCTTTAAAAAAGAATATCTGATTTATAATGATTCTAAAATGTGAATTCAAATTAAATTTTTGTTTTCTACAAAACATTTTTAGGAAAAGGGGAAATCATATGATATGCCTAATGACAGGCAACTCCAAAACTACCAACAAAGATTTTTGACCTGGGAGACAGGAAGTCCATAAAGAATGAATAGTAGGACTGTAATCTCTACACTTCCAAACCAGGATCAATGGTTAGGTACCCCTTGGCTTGTTGGCACTCTCTCCCTAGGCAGAATTACTAGGGGAGTGGATTCTAACTTTTTTCATTACCAGTGTATCTAGGGAGATCTCACCTCTACCAGTAGGACTCCTCAGAGGAAGGTGTACTGCTTTCTTTCCATTTCAAACAGATTTCAGGAGGATTTTCTAGCCTTCTGAATGAAGGCAGAGAAGGTCATAGAGGGTCATTTACTGGGCAGACCTCATAAGATTTAGGTATCTCCTAGGATTCATTAAAAAGGTATAGATACTTATCTAGTTGGAACATCCAAACATTTGCAAATTCACTTATCACTACTGAAAACATTTTAAAGCAAGATACGGTGGCTCCCACAGGGCACACTGATGTAGGCATCAAAGGTCTGTGTTGTATTTCAGGAGATGTGGCACTGTGTGCAGTAGATTTTTGTTACTATGTTTTAATGGTTCAAGAGGTCAATTCTATTAAATGCATTGGAGTAACCCAAAGTACCTAGGTTTCTCAGAGAGTTTTATTGTGATTGGATTAAAGCCAAAAAAACAGATCCTATCAGAGTGCTGTAATGCATAACAGACTTAGACTCGGATTGAATTGCCTAAATGCAAATGTATCTGGGTTTACCACAGACACAGTGATAAATGGCTCTAATCACTCTGGTAGACTCCTAAAGCATCCTGGTGTATTTGTACTTCAACTGGAAGGAGATTGGTTTTCCACAAACTTCCGTAAGTTAGTTTCAAAGAATATTAAGGTTATACCACAAACTGATGGAAGCATTGAAATTCCCATGTGAGGAAGAAGAGTATCACATTTTTCAATAACTAGATGTAACACACCACCACCTAAACAACTTACTTAATAGGCCCCATTGTGCCTCAAATGCCACATAATATATTTCCACCTCAAGAATGAGCTTTCTCCCTTTTGTCAGTCTGACATAGCCCTAATGCTCTTTTGTGACTTATTTTCTGTATAAATTGTTTAATATGTAGTGAAATGAATTCTTATTAAAAATGTCAAGAAAAACATTTTCACTTCCCATATATAACAGTGTGCCTGACAGTTTAGTCAGATGCACCTTTTCCTTTTTGTTAGTTTCAGTTTCACTGTTATAACCTATTTTTGTGCATTTGCAATGCTTAAAAATGCATATTTATTATTATTTTAAGAATGTACAATTTAACACACATACACA